AACTAGTGATCTTCGAGACACATTGCTTATGTCCATTCCACATTAGTTGTTCATGCTCCCACATGCACTAGTGCTGGAAGTTTTTCTCTTTGGAGGACTCATTAGGGAGTGCTCCTAGTGACCCCTGGAGTATTGCCTCCACTGTGCAGTGTAAGGAGTGCTGCACATTCCCTCCACATTTAGTTCCTTCTTGCCAGAATCTCCGCCAGTGGGGAAGAAGGCACATTGTGGAATGGATATGAGAAACACATCTTGAAGAACACCAGTTACAAAAAGGTAACTCTTTTCTGGAGGTGCACAGGAGTTCACGGCTGTGTTGACTGAAGCATGGCTCTGCCAAAGCCTGAGTCACCCTTCTTGAGTGATGGCACAATGAGACATAAACATATGGGCTGTGTCTACACTGGCCAAATTGTAACAGGCATATGTACATGTGGCGATCCAGTTAGAGATCCACTGTGAGGACACTTGTAAGCCCTTCATGTGGTCCACAGTGGTGACAAAAAGTTTTCTCGACTTTCAAAAGAGCTTGGTATGCGTGAAGTACAAGTCCAGAGCTCTCCCAGAATCCAGAGTATGCAAACGTCTCTCCTCTGTCATCTTATGAGGTTTGGGGGAGAGCATGTGCAGGAATGTATCTTGGCCCATGTGAAGGGAGGACACAGCTTTCGGCAGCCCTTCATGTGGTCCACAGTGGTGACAAAAAGTTTTCTCGACTTTCAAAAGAGCTTGGTATGCGTGAAGTACAAGTCCAGAGCTCTCCCAGAATCCAGAGTATGCAAACGTCTCTCCTCTGTCATCTTATGAGGTTTGGGGGAGAGCATGTGCAGGAATGTATCTTGGCCCATGTGAAGGGAGGACACAGCTTTCGGCAGGTACCTTGTGCTTGTAAAAGACAGCATATTGCAGGTCTGAAGTCAATGTCTTGAGCTCCAAGACATGTCTTGACAATGTTATTGCCATAAGAAATGCCATCTTCCATTATAGCTGTGACAGGGATTAGGAGCAAAGTGGTTCAAAGGGTAGTGCAGTAAACCTGGAGAAGAGCAGCTTAGGTCTCACTGCAGGACGGGATAAAGCCATTCTCGCCTCTTCAGGAATCAGTCATATCATTGGAAACTACTGTCTGCCCATGTAATGGCTCATGGAATGCAGATATGGCAGCGAGATGCACCCTAATGGATGAATGTGCGAGACTTTCATCTCAGAGGTGCAGCAAGTACTCCAGGACGTCTCGCACCAGCGAATGCAAAGGAGAGATGTCGTGCTCCAATGTCTATCAAGAGAACTGTATCCACTTGACCAGGTAATTCAAACTTGTAGATGGTTTCTGTCTCCCCATAAATACCTGTGGAGTCACCTCCAAGCAGGTATGTTCCACCCAAAGCAGCTATGAAGCAGTCATACTGAGAAGTGTAGAGACTTGAGACCGGGATGCAGGAGACTGCCATTGTCCTGGGAGAGTAGATCTGGGTGCCTTGAGACAATGCAGG